GCTGTTAATTTTTTATTAAAATATAAATAAGGGATTAAATTTAACGTTCGCAATTTTCGAAGATGTTAAAGTGTTACAATAATATCTCATCATTATACTCCTATAGTATTCTTAATATCATACAATACTATACTTTAGTGTTATTTTAATATCATTCCTCAAATACAGCAACATCTGATTGAAATAAATAACTTGTAGTCTCCATTAAAAAAATAATGGATATTACTTAGAGAAGGCAATGACTTCTAGATATTTTTAAAAATAAATTAATAAAAATAGAAGAAAAATAAAATAATAATTATTCATCCTAGATAACTATTAACTTAATCATTTTTATTCTGTAACTAGTCTTTCGATTCTTAAACTACGAATTAAAAACATGGTTATTTTTACATTTTTTTTATTTATTTCAAAGTAACCTGGCTTAAAGGTTATTGATATAAATTTTTTTAAACTAAAATATAGGGATTAAGTTTAACATTTGCAATTTCTGAAGATGTTAAATTTTTCTACAATATCCCAAATCCTTAAAACTCGAAGTGAGACAAATGTTTAGTTATTTTAAGAAAAATTTCATTTTGATGTAATTTTAAATAAAATAATAATCTTCAAAACATTCTCGGAGCTTCCGTTAACAATTTTAAATTGTGTTTTTAAATATAACTACATAATTATCTATTACAGCTGGAATATTTCAAAATGTTCTAAAAATTCGCCAGGAATGACTAAATTTTTAAAATCTTAGCACTAATGAAGTAACAGAAGAGCATAATTCTAACATAAGAACAACTAATAAGAATATGCCTTTAACATTAAACATAAGAATATAAGAAGAACAACATACGAACAACAACATCAATAGAAAAACGAGTCCCCTTCCCCACTTTTTACCACTCAGTTTAATTTATGACTGTTAAAAGTAATCTTATAAAATGCATTTTTTTAATGTTAACATCGAATATATACATAATTATTATTGATTAATTTATAAATTTAGGTATTATTTTTATTGTGCTTTAAAATATAAAACGTTTTACAACACCTTTGTTAAGATTTTGAGACGCATAATATTAAAATATTGTTAAAAAAGTGGGCGATTTTTTTTTGCTGCAATTTTGTTATAAAAGTTCTATTTCTCGAGAATAAGCGTTTAATTATAGTTTTTAACGAATAACAATTAAAAATTGGGAATTTGTTAGACAATGTTAGACAATTAACAATAGTGTTTAAATACAATATTTCACATTTTATACAAAAATTAAATTGGGTTAAGTGTTATGCCATTGCCAACCATTGTATTAATATTACCAATACTATTATTATTATTTACTATTCTATAAAATCTTATATTTATGGTAAACTTTAAACGTCGTAGACTATAATTTTTTAAATGCAAGAGTTAATTTATAAAGTTCTATTTTTTTCTAGATAAAATCAATGTATTTATATTTTTCAGAATCAAAACTTGTAAGAAGTATTAAACACAATAAATGAAAATTTATATATAATACAATAAATACGAAAAGGATAAAAAAAAAGAGAGATTAACGAAGAAAATTTAAAAAAATAAATAAAAATAAGTATTATTTACTAAGCATAAGCTTCAAGTAGATAAAACTCATAAAATAAGTTAACAAGGAAAAAAATATAAAGGTTTCTTAAAGGAAAAGAAAAGAAATTATTTAAAAAAATATTTTTAAAAAATATTTAAAAAATTCAAAGGAAAAATTAAAAAGCCGGAAAAAAATATTTTGGAATTTTGGAACAAATTTGTTTTTTGGCTTTTTAATTTTTTTTAAAAATATTTAACGTTTATATTTTAATTACGCTTATATAATAATTACATTTTAATTTTATAATACCATTTTTGTTATTATGTTCACAATGTTCTCAATATTATTATTTTTCATCACTTATTTTTAATCAAATTTTACCTAAGTTAATAAAAAGTGTTAAAAATTCAATTGTTAAAAAATCAAATTTTATTTAAAATATTCATTATTTAAAATATTCATTAACGACTTATCCTTAATTATAATTAACAAGGGAAAATATATCAAGAATTAGACTTCGCTAAATTAATTTTGTGCTTAATGCAGCAAAATATTTTAATGTGCATTATTTTGAAACTTTGATATAAAATATTGTAAAATGGATCATTTCATTTAATTTGAACTGAAAATTTGTATATGCAGTTGAATATAAATACAGTTGAACCTCCTCAATATGAACACACTTATGTAACATAACATCATGTAACATAACATCGTTTTAGTAACAATTTTTGATCTAACTGAATTAAAATTCTTAGATGTAAAATATCGATGATTACTTCATTAATTTGCAACAAGTGTACAATATAAGATACGTTATTATAAATATATATTCTTATAAAAGCCAGGTGCGTTACTGAATTAAAACGAATGACCTAGAACAAATAGTCCATGGTAACTATAAATATTTAGATTACATTCACATCCAGGATACTATAAACATATGCTATTAGGTTTACAAACTGTTTGGTAAGACGCATAAATTCAATTTAGTACTAAATAAAACTAATACTTATTTTTACTTCCTGAATTTTAAAACTTAGACGAATTTTTCGTACTGAAAGCTAAAACATTATTAACAAATACATTTACATTTAATATCTTCAGGAGGTTGAAAATCAATATATTTAATAGTTGGTGTCGTATCTAGAAAATCTACAGAAAATTTATTATTTTTTCATGTTATGGGTTTTTATGCAGCTGTTCAAATGTGCCTCCTAAGACAAGTGTGTATTTAACGAATGTTTATAACTATGACTCAAAATCAGAACAACGTCAAAATATATATCAGAACAACGTCGAATATGTAACTCGAACAAAAAATATTTCACGAGGTTCGCTTTTCTTCTTAATATTTCGCTGTTTGAATTTTTTATGTTCTGCTGAAGATATTTTATTTTGTTTAATTAAGGCTAATCATTTTTTTAAAGTTTCCATAACAACTACGCAAAAACATTTGCCTTCACTTAACAAAAATTAATTATTAAACATTAAGCTTAATAAAACATTAAACTTATAAGTACATTTTATTAAAAAAAATTAACTAGCGCAAAATTTTTTTCTAATTTAATTCAAATATTTAATTAAATAAAAATGTATTTTTAAAAAAGAACATTTTTTACAATAACAGAAATTTTTTCTTAACTTTTAAACTATTTATAAGTTTTTGAAACAAGAAAAGTTTGTTAAAAAACTGTAAAGACATTTAGAACAACTTGTGAAGTGCACAAAGGTATTTATGATTATGAAATTCTAAAATTACACAATATTTCAGCTTTCAAAAAATAACTTATCATTAAACTAAAATTGTTAAATCATAACTCATAAATAAAAATTAAATAAACGTCTTTAAATGAGAAAGAAATGTGTTAAATAGGTTACATTTCTACAATCCAATATACACAATTCATTTCTTTTTCATCATTAGTTAAAGTGTTTTAAGTGAGTTGGCCATTTATTTCTTACTAAAATGTCGTATAATTATATTGCATTATTTTTAATTAGTTTTCGTTAGAACGGAATGTAATTTACTTGCAGGTTAACTATAGTTTTATCCGGTCGAAAGTTGTCATTTTGTAATTAATATAATGAATTTAGAGGTATGATTCGAGAAAAGAAATTGTCAGTATTTTTAGCAACAATTAGTTATGCTTTTAAAACAAAAGTCCAGAAAATGAGTAAGGCGCTACCCAGATGAACCACGATCCTTTAAATGTCTTTATTAAAAGACTTTTTTAAACTGAATGTTTATAAATGGTTAAAGAAAGCGGAGAAGGATTAGAAAATCGAAGGAAAGGACGCGTTAATATTTAGTTTTGGAACTCTGTACGTTTCGCAATTTTTAGCAATAAGAATTAGCTTCGCGGTTTTCCCCCCAAAAAACTTAAATGATTTGAAATCTTTTTATCAATCTAACTTTTTTTATGCTGTGTCTAATTTTTAATGCTTAGGTTCATTTGTATATTTATATGAAATAGGATAAGTTTTGGTTAACTAGTTTCCTTTTAATCGAATGAGTATTTGAGTATAGTTTAGTATTTTAAATATTCGGAAAAATTTTAAAAATAGATCATAGTTCATTTTTTGGTTCTGTCTTAATTGTTGCAATGAAAATTGATATTCTTGATATATCGTTGAGCTTGTTTTCAATCAAATTTTATGCGGGGAATAATTGGAATATTGGTCAATAACTTAAAAATTAATCCAAGTGTCTTGAAATTCTATTTTAATTATTTTAAGAAAAGAAATGAAATTATTTCTACATCGTTGAATTCACTTTCAATTGTGTTCCATACATTCTGTACAAAGAATATTCAGAATAACTATAACTAGATATGTCGATAACTAGAAAACTTCTCTTAGTTCACTTTTTCAGTTCTGTCACGAAACCAGAATTGATATCATTGATGTATCGTTGAGTTTGTTTTCAATCAAATTTGATGTTTTTAGTGTAGAGAATATTTAGAACAATCGTCAATAACTTGAAAATTAACCAAGTAAAGTTTTTCAGTTCTGTTTTAATTATTGTTAAAAAATTCCTTAACAGATCATTTAATTCACTTTTATTCTATACATCCAATAAAAAGAATATCCAGAATGTACTTTAGTAACTTGAAAATTCACTTTTTTCAGTTATGTCTTAAATCTAATCATAATTGATATCATTGATATATCGTAGAGTGTGCTTTTGATTAAATCATACGCAAATATGTAACTTTATTTTTTCTATCAAAATTTTCCAATTCTGTCTTAATGCAATAAAATTTTTATAATTAATATAACACGCTCAGACGATCTTTTAAATTAAATTTAATTAAATTTAAAACGATTTTTTTTCCATACGTTTTCTGACTCACACAACAACAGCTATTGAATTACAAATCATTATGATTAATTCACTTTGATGTATCAACATATTGGATAAATGATAATGAATATGGTACTTACCAGATGTTCAGTACTATTCACATCTGCCATAATACTCGCAGCGCCTTTGATTTATCTATTCCCAACGCATGTTTTTTGTTGTAAATATTCTTCTCCACACCGCTGCTCTATTCCGCAGGTGCATTGATTACATAGTAGGAATGTCTGGATTCGAACAAATCGTATTCCATAAGTTTAATTCGCCTGCTCGATCGAACTTTCTGACACAAAATACGTTGATATCTCCTTCTCAACCGCTTTACTCTTTTCTACCAAACTGACATTCATATGTTCGAGGTAGACAGGTTACCTGATCGGAAAAAACACGGAGGGAAAGTTTTATTTTTTGGTCGCCAAATGCATCCAACAGGTGCGCCAAGTTGTTCATTGGAATTTTTACTTTCTGTGAGTTCAGTTCACCGGTTTTAATGGTTGCCAAAATTCTATGAGACTTTGGGGGAGTACCAAGAGCAAGATGCTCATCCTCCTACGATAATCAGATTGTTCTTTGAACTGTTCTGTGGATGCTATTCACACTTGGTGTGTGTTTTAGGAGCTTTGTGGTATAGAAAATATATATTTTGATTGTTAGTTTTCACAATTTGAAAATTTTATTTTGCAGAATAAGGGAAATTTGGAGTTCATAATTTGTTTTGTATTAAAATATAGCTTCATTTTGGAATTTTATGTTCTAATTGTTGATACACTTGGTCGATGTTTATAAACTGAATGCGAGAAGAAAAAACACTAATTAGTTTTGCTGATATGCCACCAGATTGTACTCCGATGTCGGTTCGATGTTTAAAATTGAAGGCTCAGATAGTTATCTATACATAATAATAAACGCGGCTGTGTGTGTGTCTGTTTGTCTGCCTGTCTGTAATCACAATATATCGCCCCAGAAGCCTCGCCCAGGCACGAAACTCGGCACATAATTGTGTTTTGAAATAATAAAGAAGTATTTTTTTTCTTTTTCAAAAATTTGGATTAGTTTTTTAGTTATCAGTCATTTTGTAAGAAAATCTATGCTTTTTCGTCTTCAAAGAGGCATACTAAAAAAACTAATAAATGTATGCTAATGCGAACCTTACAATTGAAATATTAATTTTCGACTACTTAAACCAATAATATACGAAGGAATTAATAATTTAATTGTAAGGTTCGCATTAGTTTACATTTATCAAAGTGGAGAAAAGTTAACTTTTGTATTAAAAATGTGGCATTCGATACGTAAGTAGAACGCTTCGCTTTGATATATTTGTCGCTGTTCATAATTGTTATAATAAGTTTTTCTTCTTCCTTCCACGCTCTATTTTTTTTTTTTTTCCTTAAGCGAAGACGATAATTTTTGTAGCGATATAGAAATAAAAATTAATACCATAAAAAAATTATATAGAAATAGAAAGTGATACCATAAGAAATTAATTCGTTTTCGTGTTCTTTTCATGTATTTAGTTTTTTTTTTCTTAAGCGTTGTAGCTATATAATATATAAAATAGGAATTTAATTGTTTTTGAAGGAACGATCACACTTACCTTGGATCTCTTTGGTTTTTCTATTCTTTATTTTAACAGTTTTTATTAAATGTAATTAGTTATTTTCAGAAAGTTTCAGTTTGCAGGTAAGCACTTAGATTTTAATATTGAAGTTTCATGATTTGCTTTCATAGTAATTGTTGTTCTAAAGTATTCGTTGACTTCTTAAAAACCCGATTAATTGGCCAATGATGATTTCGAAAGCAACTTTTGTATGCTTTTACAATTTCTGAGGACTTTAAAAAAAAAAAAAAAAACAAGTCTCCACCTGATAGTTATATAGGTTAGGTTACCGTAGGCCTTAGGTACCATAGCAAAGTTACATCCTCAAGAGCTATAACACATCTGCAGCAGAACTGGATATGAAGACAAAATTGCAGAACAGGAACACTTTAATTGTCAACTAATTTTCAGATTTCCTGCTATGTTTTAAAAACCTTTATTTGTGAAAACCTTTAGCGTGGCGGACAGCTGGCCGCCTTAGGCGGCTAGTCCTTAAATATTTTCAAACATTTACTTTAATTTGAAATTAAAAAAGAGAAAGGAACTAAAAATTAGATATTTTCTCCCTGAGTTAATTTAACATTTGGATTTTGTTTTAAAAATTACATTTTTTAATTTGATTTCATAGCCTTGATATTATTATTCTAATCTTTCTTGAAAATAATTTTGCAATAAAAATATCGATATTCATATCATTACAAAGCAATAAAGAAATCCGTTTTTTTCCTCGAGGTTTTAGATATTAATTAAGGGGCACATTTTTCTTTTATTCCAATTTTTCTAGCATTCTATTATAATCTATTTAAAAATATATACAATATTAGTAAAATTTTGAAATTTGGACACGGCTTGAATATATTGCACAAGTTAACAATGATATCAGTTAAACTTTAAAACATTATTATCATCGAAATGAATCCAAACATAGTTAAGTTCTTCAAAAAATTAAACGTAAAGTAGTAAATATTTTTCACATTTAAAAATCTCCTTATTTTATTTCTACTAATTTTCAGATTGCAATCACAAATTAATAAAACGAAAATCACACATGAATAAATCAATGTGAACTGGAAACTGATATATTTAAATCATAGGATACGATCAAACAACAGATAGTGGTAAATGCTTTTCATATTTAAAAATTATCCTTTCATTTTTTTCGTAACTTTTCAGATCGATATTACACATTATGCATATATATGTGTTACCATATTCTTAATTTCAGAAGAAATTTTCATATCACAATCACACATTATGCACCGAGAAAATAAATATGGTTAAAACCTCCGGAACATGGTAAAATTTATCGTGTTTCTGGCTCTATGGGAACACCAAAAACTCGGTAATTTTTACCGTGGCGCTTAGATAAGAAATTTAGTAAAATTAACAATAAAATATGGTTTTATAATATATATAATAAAATTTGGTAAATGGGGTAAAATTTAGTAATTTTATCATGATGCTTTAGAGTATGAAATAAAAACCATTTGTTCTCTCAAATTTACATTTCAATTTTGTATTTTTTACAAAATGTGTGGTAATAAGATGTTCAATTTTGAAAAACAGAATTTCCTGTATCCAGTTACCGTATGAACGGAAAGATTACCAGATGAATGGTTTAAATACGGTTGATTCTATTAACCAGAAATATAGTTTGGCGTATACCATAAGTGTCATTACTATACAGTATGGTCATTTTACCAGAATTTTTTTTCTCCGTGTGCAATGATGAATATCACTCAGTGAGAAAACATAAGCCTGATATATTTAGTATTAAACATTAACCCCTTCTCTGCCGTTTTTTCTTCTTTTTTCCCTCCAAATTTCCGACTTGAGAAAGAGAAAAGAAGGAAAAAAATTATTGCTGAAAATCAATATGTGTTCTATTTACGAAAAAAAATTTTTCAACTTATTTTTTTTAATATCAGCAAGCAGTTTTTTGCTTGACTTATTGATGGTGAAATATGAGATGTCTCGTCTACTGATTTCCTGTTTTCCCTGCGATGCACCCAAGCTTTGCTTTAAAAAAGTACGCTGTGATAACATATATATTAACTCTGCTGCTTTAAGGTGCTTAAGATAAATATCTGCATAAAATGTTTATTAAAATTAGGTAAAAATATATTCTGCAGAATAATTTTTCAACCTTACCGTTAAAACCGTTTTATAATATGTCTTGGACATCAGAGCGTGAAAATCACATTTATAACAAAACTGCCATAACTATTTTGATCTGTAGCGGTAACACTAATGAAAGCGAAATTGCAGAAAATTCAAAATGATTTTGATTTCAATTCAAGGCGGGAAATCTTACAGTGAAAATTGTGAAAAAAAAGTGGGACCAGTTGCGCCATCTTTTAACGATGTTCAGAAATAGAAAAATAATCGATGGATTTAAAAAGATGTGTAAGTAGTGACGGATTCAATTTATATGATGCAATTTTTCTCTTCGTCACATGGCATGTGACTCCGACCATATGGGCAAAAAGAAACCGAACTCATAGGATGCGACACCGAGTTTTGGTCATTTTAAAATCTCCTTATCATTTCCACGTAATTTTGAATTACAATAACGAATCGCGATTTAATCCTCAGTCACATTATTTTTTTCAATTATTTGCTAAAAATGAAAGTGAACAGTATTTATAAAAGAATTTCTAAAAATCAACGTTTTAATTTTTTGCTGTTTCAATAAAAGTTTGATCAGAAGCTTTTCTTTTTTTCTATGTATTTAACTTGACTTTTCTTTTCAATGATGTGAAGGAAATACTATTGTTAATCTAGTGCTTTATCATGTTAGGTAATGAAAACTCCTGTGGAGAAAAATTAGTAAACAAATGACACATGTTCTTTAAATTTTTCTTTTATTGGATTATTCGGAGAGTAGTTTTGTTTTTTTCTCTACAGAGGACCTAATTATATATTTTTACAACTAACTTATATATTTTGACAACTGATATAGCAAGGCTTGCTTGTGAAAAAGTTCGATTGATTCTAGACCGTTTTAGGGTGGATGTCCTTTCGAATAATGTTAAGTGAGACGCGGAATTTTTGACATATTCTTATTATCGAATTATTCTTATTATACTTATCCTACTTACTTATTATCGAAATGGTAAAATTGCTGTTAACCCCTTAACAATTGATTAATTTTCTAGAAAATGGTCATAAAAGCTCCTATTTTTTTGGCTTTTGTATTTGTATTACATATTTGATTAGTGCTGCAACTAGTTTAAACTATCTACAATTACTTTAAAAATATCCTGGTACTGCTATATTGCGTGTAAAATGAGAAATAAAATGTTTTCCGGGCAAAAGAAATGAATTAGTTTTATTCTTATTGGCGTATTACTATTGAACACTCCAGCCCGTCAATATCACGGGAGCGAGAAATAGCGAGCGAAATCTCCCCCCGTCATTTTCACGGGAGCGAGAAGGAAGGGGTTAAAGTACGACAATTAATAGATACGACAATTAATAGATTGCACGGAGATGCACCTCGCCAGTTTAAGCTGATGAAGAAACAATTAAGGCATTAATTGATGCTAACAGACAAATAACAAATCGTGATATCTCTGAGACATTAGACTTATCGAATTCGACCTTCTTAGTCATTTGAAGAGCCTAAAGTTTAATATCTCAAGCTTCGACGTATAGGTTCTTCATGTTCTTACGGAAAGAAATTTGTGCCGTCGCGTTGGCGTCTGTGGTTTGTTTTTCAAACGTCAAGAAAATTTTTTAATTTTCAAGAGCATCATCACCGTTTCGGT